CACCATAATTTTGATTGTAACTTTGCAATCAGAAAAGATTTAAATATATAGACACAGAGGTTCTGTCAACTAAATTCTCTATTACCTTTTGAAGTAGGTATTTTTTTTAATGTCTTATTTTGCTGTAAAGCGCAGTGTTCGAGCTGCTTTCGGTGTATTCCGTAAAAATCACCTTTCGAGCGCTTATTATGAAATCAATGCGATATATTCTAATATTAGATCGTATTGGTTATTATAACCTTCTTCCTAGTTGTTTACATATTAATGATGAAATCTCAAAGTGTAATTGCACACATCTCGTTAATTTGCAGCTTATCATTTCATTAGGTTAACATTCATTGGCGTTTTCCATTCTCGATAACATTTATAAATACATACTTTTTATAGTGTTCGTCGGTAAGTTAATCTATATATATAAAAGATCTACCGATCTAGGTACTTTTATTACATTTATTAGTGTCCTGAAAAGTTAAATCCAGTACTTTAATAATACACACGATAGAGAAGTAAGGACGCAGTGGTAGAGGCGTCAACCCGCTCACTTAATTTTTCCAACAATTTTATTTCTAACTCAACGGTTCGATATTGACATGGCAATAATTTATGATGTAAAAGTATCGGTGTTGCCAACTATCGAAAGATACAAAGGTTGAATCAGCCGCTAGATTAACTATAATTATAACGGCATGATAACGCTATCAGGCCCCCCTGTGAATCGCAAGTAGGGTTGCCAACCGTATTATAAAATACTTTCTTCTGAAGGACATATAATTATTTAGATCTCACTGGCAACAAATTATACTCGAATATTTAAACAAATTTAAATGTCATTCTGAATATTAAAATTGATCCAGTTTACTTTTTGCCTAGCCAAGAAACACCTGTTTAATGTAGCGAGACCTGAAAAATTTAATTATATGAATAGTAAAAACTTATTATACAATTCAATATTTTTTGTAAAGAGGCTGTCATTATAAAATATTACTTATGTTAATTACCATTTCCAAAAGAGACAGCAATATTTTAAAATGTTGAAAAATGTTTCAAGTATAATTATTATCATAAGACGAACAATTAAGCATTTTTTTATGATATTGACTTTTGTTCTAGCAAAATATAAAAGTTTTATTGGCGTTGAAAATGTAGCAACCCTTACCGAAATACCCAAGTTTGTGTAATAATTGTTCCGTGTTATTTTTATCATGTTTACCAAAAGCCATTGACGTATGAACACCCAGGTCAGTGTCAAATTACAACAGACAGACTCACAAACTGCCAAGCAACAAGATACCTCTATATGTAGTTACGGTAAATACCCTTATAAATAATATGACACTTATTCATATAATGAGATTCAGAAACTGTACTCATAAACGGATTACGATAATGCAGAATAATAAAACTTTATTTTTAAATTTATCACATCACTCATATAATTCCAAGCGATGATTCTTATTAATGAAGTAACACCGTAACATACAGATGTCTAAAATTCACTTATTCAAAGTACCTACTTATGTCACTAGGTGATTATGTTGACATAATATTATGTCATTATGTTATCAGCTAGCGCGTACTCTACCCATTTATAGAGTTCAAATGGCGTTGCTTGTGACTTAATAGAGTAACTCCCATTTCGATAAATTATATGTAATACTTAATATTGATTAGCTAACTAAAAAGGTATTTGGAACCCCCACGTTATCTGATTACGTGCTTTAATAAACAATTGTATGATACCGTACTGAGAAATGAAGCCTGATACAATGCTCCTCGTTGTTTCTTGTAATTTTTGGGAATTTATTACAGTTTATATGCGGTAGGTAATCCTCAAAATAAGTATTTAACACTTTTAGAATCCGATAAAACTTCATCATTTGATGTACTACATACACTCTAGCGTATCAGGAACCTTACTCGAGGTTTTGATCTGCAAGACGTAAAAATCATGAAATACAATTTCATGATTTAATAAGACGCTATTTAACATTAATAATAGGTTTTTACGGCCGGTTTTTACTAAATTCAGAAAACTTGTTTTAGTGTCGTTTAAATATAGTTTAAAACGTGCTTAAATTTAAATACTCAATTCAGAAACAGGGTGATAGAGCTGTTTATGAGTAAGTGACGGACAGACAGTAACTATTTGCGATATTAATTTTTTGATAGTAGAATTATAATGTTGGATCTCGATGGGGTGTGGTAAGCGCATCCGGTCTGCGATTGCGAACGTTACTTAACAACCGTATATTAAGTAACGTTTGCAATGACCTGTCATAGGATGGGTGACCAAAAACTTATCATCTCGAGTTTCTCCGCGCTTCGGAAGGCACGAATTAAGCCGTTGATCCCAGCATCTGCAGTCGTTAACACCTACCAATTCGCATTGGGCCCACGCGGTGGGTCATTTGATTCGATTCCATCCATAGGGAAGGCCTGAGCTCTAGCATTGGGGATATTAATAAGCTGGTGATAATAGTTATGAAAATTGTAATGTAATTTAAAGTAATGGTAAAAGATGTCTGTTTATATTTACATGATTGGGGGTCGTAAAATGTATATGCCAATAAAAATTGCTTAAGCGATGGATGATGCACGTAAAGGGCTTGCGAACTGTTGCATTATTTTGAATGTAAGTAATATAGATATGTAAGGGAAGTGATCAGGAAATAATTAATACAAAAAAAAAATGTTATTCTAACAGTTGCCGTCCAATAAAAGGGAAGATTAACTAAATTATTACGTATCATTTTATCATTAATGAGAAATATAGGAGAGTCATATCTGTTACTGATATTATAAATTACATAATTCTTACACAAAACAAGATTTCTTTAACAGCTGTACTATCCTACTTTATTGAAAATAAAAATCCAACCGCTATTCGACTAAAAATGAAGTTTTTTTGTTAATTTAAGTTGAAAAAGTATTAGTATTTAATTCTTGGGTCAAATTTCGTCGATCGGTGAAAAATATATATTTAAAATAAATATTGATAAAGCCTAAGCAAAGTGGCTAAAGTTCTTATGCAAATTGAATGATTTAGAAAAGCTTTTCCCTTGAATTTTCAAAATTTTCATAAATACATATTAATGCAGAACAAAATAAAATTTACATTGTATTGAAAGTCACGATACACGACACATTTTTAGTGATTTCTTTGTATTGAATGCATTGTTAATAGATCAATTCATACATTTTTATCGCGCCGTAAAATAAAGTAGGTATCATTATTTTCAATGACATTGTTTCAAAGAAACTATTATCAATTCTAAATAAATTGTTGTGTACCGTTTAACTATAACTCGTAAGAGCAAAAAATATTTTTTGTTTTGTTCTAATTATCTCATGCGTCAGTAATGGCCTTTCTGATGCAAACGACGTCCGAAATATTTATGTACATAAACTTGTTCCGTATCCAATTGGAAAAAAATATTTATGTTCCTTTTACATAATCTGGCTTAATCACTTAGCAACCGCTTATATTTTTATCATTAATGCTTAAAAACAGAACTTGAGATGTGATAGAAATACATGACCTTATATCTTTTGAATTTATAGACGTTTTAAATTGATATGATACTCCATAAGCTGTCATTTTATTTATTTTTAGGATGCCAAGGCAACAATAAAGCAATTTTTGGATCCAGTATTCGAATCACAAAATACGAAATTCTTATGATTCGACATGTCTTGCTATCTGTCCATCCAAATGTCCCTGCCACTATGTTTCACAACTTTTATGCAATTTGCAAAATTGATCAATTTGCAATTTTGAAGTAGGATTTTCTGTGAACTGCTTTACAACTTTTTTCTTAAAATAGAAAATAATATAAAATTTAGTAGAACATGTCATACATGCAAGAGAAACTAAAAAAGAACGTTGAACCCAACACGCGCGGAAGTCTTTAAAAATGATATCGAGTTACCGAAAACCATTTACTACATATGTCATAGAAACGTTGCACTTGTTACGAGAACAAAATAACGAAAAACCTATGATGATGCGGAATTAGAACAGACAATATTAAAGTCGGGACCTTGATAATTAGACCAATCCAGTTTCTGTTGCACAAACGAAATGAAGAAGTTGGTGTAACCACAAAACATTCTATGATGTTTCATTATTAGAAATATGGTTTTTACTAAAAGTGACTACTAAAATACATTTGATAGGTAAAGAACTAAAAAATATCAGATGTCGTTATAGGTCATCATCAGTCTATTAATGACCCCATTGTCTTTGGCAATAAGTAAAAATAAAGAATATAATAAAAAAATAGGCTACGTTCCATCACACGGTACGTATGATTTGGTGGGTATTAGTGACTAAAAATACAGCTAGGATCAGCGACTTAACGTGCCTTCCTAAGAATGAAGGATGTCGAGATAATAATTTTTGGTCGCTTATCTATATTTTGTTACCGATACCGGCCCTTGCTAAAGTTGCTTACAGTAGATAGGCATAATTCCATGCTTCCGCACCTCCTCCGCATTGCGCGCGCTTATTATCGCACCATTGAGCGCCTCAAATCATCGTGTATTACTACAAATTAACTATTTCCAGAATGTTGAGATCACATCTTTTGATAATCGAATCTTGATCAAATTTTTATACTGTTGGCTCTAAACAACATCTCTATCTATATTAATTATAATATATTAAGGAAAGCGACATCTGCAAGACTAGCATCTAGTTGCATAAAGTAATGATGAATTTTAGATGTAATTAATGTATTAAATTTGAAAATTTGTATCGATAGTGTCGTTTTAAACTAATAACAATTTTAATGGACGTTTGTACAACTGGATATTAAAGCTTTAAATTGATTCTATATTTTTTTATCTATTTGCATTCACTATACGTTATATGTATATGATTTAAATATGTAAATATGAATATTATCATTAATTAATTAGTGTCCACCAAAGCCTTTTGATGTGTATTGCACGCATTTCATTTACATTGTTTTTACACCTTATTATTTTTTTTATTTCAGAATCAGATCTCACCAGTCTTTCACATGTCGGTAAGTGGATCATTCGAATCATGTAAACGAATATAATCTACATATTATACATTCACAAGGTGATTGGTATATTATGAATAATATCATGCTTAAATCTATTTTTAATTTATAGATCAACATTTTTGTAAGAAATGTTAAAAATAAAACACTTGCATATTAGATTTATCGATAAACTGTTTATTTATATTCAGAACTAGTTTTATGTGTGTCAATAACGCATCATCGGATGTTTATAAGCATTTGCAAGATATTTTCAATTAAAATGTAGGTTAGGTTTTTTTTTGTATGTCTTGCTAATCTGTGCTCAAACTAGAATTTTTGACTATTATGTATTAAGGAATAATATTGAGAAAGAGAATTATATAAAGAGCCACAAGATTCCGTTACTTTTATTTATATGAATATTAAAATATACTGTAATCAATACATAAATCATGTTCAGACATTACACATCTTTTTTGTAAGAAAATTAGTAATTAATTTCTCCGTTTACTGATAAAGATTGTTTGCTAAACACGTTCGATCAAAGTTGGATACAGTGATTGAAACATTAAAAAAAGGTTTATCCAAAATTGTTTTCTTTTTCAAAAGATCAAATGTGCAAAACCAAAGTTATGATTGCGCAAAGCTACAGCAAAAATTCAAACAAACGTTGACGAGGATGTTTTGGACAAGTGTGAACACGAGGCAAGAAATTCAAAACAAACGTCTATTCCAATCCTCTTGCATAATAACCGTACCAGCAACCGATTCATCATTCACTTCTCAGTACAAAGCTGTTCAATATAATGAGTTTTATAACTTATGTCGAAAAAGTATTAGGACTATATATATATTATCAATGCAGATTTCTCAAAAAAAAAAGAGTTTACGTATAAAAATATATCAACAAAATACTCTCTAAGGTAATAAATAAATTACGATTTACAGTTTAGAGACATATAAAGTGATGGCTAACGCATTCAAATTTAAATGAACGAAGCTTCGCAATAAAGCATAATATAGAGACAGATAATTTTTGCGAAAAGTAAAGCACTCGCAATTTTTAATAAATTAATACAAAGATGATTCGATTGTTGTTAATTCTTATATACTTACAAGGCAATCAAAGCAATTTCTTTCTCAAATAAAACAATGACCAAGTAAGTTCCCAAACATTGTTATTGTACTGTGTTCGGTGGCTGTTGGTTTGTCATAACTACAGTTGTTTTGAAATTTCGAAATAGCAGTTACATAACCGAATGTATGCATTTCAACTTTGCTAGACTATGTACATTAGAATGTACCTAGTACCTTTACATTAGATTATTAAATAACTGAATTGTTTAAAAGTAACATTTACTTTTGATAAATTGGGAAGTTGAAACTTGTAAGGTATTTAGTTTAGAGCTTCACGATATTTAAACTATGTCTTTTTCACATAAATATTATTATACGAAGTGTCAAAAATTATGATAGACAAGTAAACATTGCATAAATAGTATATATGTCATGAGTCAATCGTTGAATTGGGTTGATTGAGATCTGCCCGGGTATATCACGGTATGGCGCCATTTATCGATTTGGCCAGGAAAATCGTAATCGGTCCGGTTAAAAGTTTGCCAAATCGATGAGAGCAACATATTTGTTGATTTGCTCAACTAATTAATTGGGCATATCGTGATATGACTGCTGTAGCACTATTGGCTGTATATTTTTGTAAAGTTCGTTAAGTGAGAAAGATAGCGACGTCACAAGCAAACGAAAACTGTGATATTAAAAATTATGACAGTGAGTTACCTGCTGCAAAAAGTGTTTTCCAAGTGAATTATGAAAGTCAGATATGATATGATTCAGGAGTGATTGAGAGTCATGCAAATTCAATGCACAATGTTAAAAAACCACATGTCTCAAGTTTGATGGTCGCTGTACTGTTGAAATAAACGTTTTTTATCAGCCTAATGTATTTAGGTTCGACCCCTTGATTTTCTAGGGCTCTCCAAATATAATGGTGTTCCTAACAATCAAAGGCTTTTTTATAGTCAACAAATGCCTAAACTCTTGGCTTTTTTCTATGATTTGCTTTAGGCTATGTATATGGTCTATGGTTGAATATCCTGCTCTAAATCCTGCTTGTTCAGGGGGTTGGTGAAATTCCAAGGTTTTGCAGATTCTATTAAGAATTATTTTTGAAAAAACTTTGTATATATTTGACATGAGACTAATAGGGCGGTAGTTGTTTATATCTTCTTTGTCGCCTTTTTTGTATATTAGGAAGATCGTGCTATTTGATCACTGAAGAGGGGTGTATTCAGAATCCATTATCACATTATACATGTGGGTAAGTTTATGGAGGTTCTCTGGTAAAGTAATTTTCATAATTTAATTGGTGATATTGTCTTGTCCTGGTGATTTATCATTTCTCTGTGATCTTACTGCATGAGACACTTCCATATCTACTCGATTTTAAACATACTTTGCACATTTTATGTGCCTACCTTATTTTTTTTTCAACTGAGAACAGAATGTTGGTGTTGTTATGTGAACATGGAGGCACTCATTAAAATGTAATCTATTAACACAAACAAATCGCTTCGACATTGTAGTGGACAGACATTGAGTATTGGGGCCGTGAGCATGCGTTTCAATTAAAGTTGATAGTTGTAATTGATATTACTGGAAAGAACCACACAACGTATTACAATATAGCCAGTAGTATACCCATAATTTGGCTAAGTCTTGGGAATATTTGATATTATTATGAAATTAAGATATTGTAGAGTAAGCGTAAAGTTTCATTAGCCAAAACCACGATACAGCTAATATTTATTAATGGTACTAATTTCATGAAATAAATTCTTGATGCAAAGAAAATCTCTTTTCAATAGTAAACTTTTATAATTTCAAATGAAATGTCGATTTGTAAGCGTTATAACAGAAAATATTACATAACATGGCAAAGCAGCATAATGTCAGATGAACATTGATCTGAACGCATTAAGAATCAAACAATGACATTGCTGATGAAGAAAAATGTGTAACAATGGAATAACGTAAAATGTTTATGTTGATTGAAGACAATAAAAATTGGCAAAGATCCAAAAGTTTCGTATTGCGTTACAACTGACCTGTCTGTACAAAGGAAACTTTGTCCCTTTAATTCATGTTGATTAAAATCAAATTCCTTTGTTGGATTTGAAAACGCAGGTGCTTGTATCATTTTGTTAGTAATATCTTAACGTACTGACAGGTAATTCATGATATAAATATATTTTATTTACGTCATTAAGACGTGAAAGATTATTTCATGTATCTAAAACTTTGGTTTGGACAATGATGTCGAATTTTTAGATTACTTTAAAGAATGTTACCAAAGTTTAGAAGTTCAATACAAACATGAAATCTGGTAAAGACTGTTTCGATTATTCGCCTTTCCTATGACTACTTATATAACTACACATCTTCTAAATTCTTCAGTAACATTGATGAGTGGAATGTGCAATGTTTTGTTAAGGATAACCCTATACTTCATATAAATAGCGTTGTTTTTATCATATTAATTGCTTAGTGCGCCATCATATTAATCGCAATTATTATTAATTGTCCGAGCGGATGATAATTTAACGTCATCGGATGTTCTGTTGACTAAATTAATGTTAAGTTTAATATTATTAATTTTCGTTTATGCGTTCTTATAACATTTAGATGTTTGCATAAACGATCAAACATAACAACTAACTACTATTATATAATATAATTGCGAATAAAATGGTAACTAAAATACGATATTACAATACCTATTAAAATGGTATACAATTTGAGAATAATTTGAAATTTATTTAAAATTCAGTAACTACGAAATATTTATTATACATTATAATATGATTTATAAAGTTTTTATTATAATATGATACAATAATTCGATCGTAACTTACACTCGGTAAGATAAACGAAACATAATTGGGGAAAATAAATCCAGTGTGAGGCATCGGCTCTCAAAAACACAATAAACTGTGGTTTCCTGCTTCATGTAATTAAAATGGAACGACTGCAATGAATTTTGAGGAAGAAGAGTTCAGACGCAATGTTTACAAAAACTATTTTTATTTCGTCGGTGCGCAATATGTTTCGCCTAAAGCTGCCCAGAAAGCTGTTAACGAACAATTAAAACTTGATTGTTATTCTGAAGAAGAAATAAACCGCTGCATTTGCGCATTAAATTTGTGCGTGTACGCAACTAATTTCCAAATGTGTTAAAAGTAGATATGTACCAAATAGGTGTTATTTCCAGTGACCGAATACCGAATTTATTTTGCCAAGTTATTCAGTTGAGGTATTTTACCTTTATTTTTTTGATATCGTGGATTGACCTGCAATTCAATGAAGGCTGCACCTATGGTATCTCCTACAAAATTAAAAGATCTGCAATAGTTAGCGCCTCCAAAATGAATTAATATGTTTACATTTTTACCAATTCTCTGCATTTTGAACAAATGCCATATTTATTTGTACAACACTGTGGTATTTATTTGTTTCAAACTCTATTAGATTAACCATTAGATTAAAAAGAATTAACGATATATGTAGCTGTTACTCCAAAACTTAATTCCGTAAATATGTGTACTTAACAGATATAATAAACCGGCTTTGTTGTTTCCTTGTTTTGAAAACTGGAGATTATAAACACTCACGAAGACAAATATTTTTCTATGTGGTATATTTAGAATTTAATGTACCTATGTTAAGTGAGGTTGTTTATTAGCCGACATTCGAACGTTTCGATTGAACATTATTTATTTAATTTTTACGCCTGTTTTATTATATAATGCTGTAGATTTTAATCTAATGAAAAAAAATTATAGGAATTTGTTAGTAATCTATTTATCGCAATCTTATTTCTATACGACTGAATGACCTACTGACCCAAATGTTTAGACTAGACAATTTCACCGCTATACACTAAATGCGGGTCAACTTATTCATGTTTCCCGGTAATTTTAACATGACACGCAGAATTTTAT